TTCGTCTTCGTCTTCATCTTCTTCTTCATCAAACTCTTCCTCCTCGCCTTCTTCATCTTCACCTTCTTCGTCTTCCTCTTCTTCGTCCACACCGTCCACCTCAGCATCTGAGCCGGGGCCTTCCCGGTCCTAGCCGTCCAGGTAGGTCAGCTGTGGCAGCCTAAGGATACTCTCTCGGTAGTCATTCAGGTTAGTGACCTCACAGTTAAACAGATCCAGGCTTTTCTGAAATTCCAACTTTTTCGAAGGTCCCAAGGTACTGATGTCTTTCCGTGTATTTCCACTGAAGTTGAGATGTGTGAGACTTGGAAGTTCTTCTGCTAACATGCCCAGACCTCCACAGACTCTCTTCTCACTGAGCTCAAGCTTTTTCAATTGAGGTAGCTTGGGAAGATTTGAAATTGAAATCAAGCCTACATTTATTAAACTGAGGAACTCGAAGTTCACAAATTCTGCTGGTAAGCCTTCGATTTTTCCATCACTTGACTTGCAGTTGTCCAAGACAAGTTCGCGAACAGCTGCCGGAGTCCGGTTCCTCAGCTCCAGGTGGATGCTCCTCTTCATGTCCATGTTCCCCTCTTCCCCTGTATTCACAGTTAACTTTCCTCGGCGGGGGCGGAGGGGGGAGAGGCGTCCCGGCCTGCGCAGCGAGGGCCGTCGGAAGAGGATTGCTGGTGGCAGAGGCCGGAGGCGCGGTCCCGGGCTGCGTGCGAGTGGCACCGTCAAACTTCATTTTAAAAAAGAACAAAACCTGGGAACCAGCAGTTAGCGTAATGGCTATGTCGCTGGACTCCCACGTAGTCGACCGTGGTTCGTGTCCCGGACCCGGTGGCTTAAAACTCACGCCGGGCGCGTGTGCGTGCGTGCCCAAGATCCCGAGAGGAGAATGGAGGAGAAGGGATTGCGGCATGACCATCCCCCCTGGGGGGTGATTTCTCGCTTTCTGTCTCTATGTCTCTCTCTGTCTGTCTGGCGAGCGCACGCGCCCTACAGTGAAAATCTCTCCAAAAAAAAAAAAAAAAGAACAAAACCTGAACTCCGTCTTGTTCTGCGACCAGTCATAAATTGTCTTATAATATGCTTCTTTCTGCTTACTAATACCTGACTTTATTTTGGTGTTGCTATAGGGCACATACATTTACCAGAGAGAGACAGAGAGAGAGAGGGAAATTGAGAAATCGCCCCCTGGGGGGAATGGCCATACCTTCCCCTCCATTCTCCTCTTGGGACTTCAGGCACACGCACACTCACCTACCATGTTTATCAAACTCCCAGGTCTAGGACTTAACCACACCATCAGCACCGGCGACCCAGCCACCTGAACTACCTTGCCATTGGCTGGCCCGTCTGCCTGCTAGTACCCTAACAATGACCCGAGAAAGCGGACGTGTCTTCTTTTTAACCCTGGGATCATTGCTTCAGCATCCTGGAAACAGAGTGAGATTAGAAACGGAAAAATGGAAAATGGGCTGATTTTCAGACTTGGAATGTGCTCTTTCCACCCCAATCACCAACATACACGAAGCTTCCCTCATCTCTACTGCACATCGTGGTCCACAGACAGGCTCTGGAGGGAGGCTGGGCTCGAATCCCACCCCCAGCCCTCCCAGATGTTCTACCACGAGCGAGTTACTGCAACTGTTTGTGCCTCCATTTCTTTTTATTTTTAATTTAATTTAATTTTATTTTATTTTTGAGAGGTTTTCGCTATAGGGCGCATGCACTCACCAGACAGAAAGAGACAGAGAGACAGAAAGCGAGAAATCACCCCCCAGGGGGGATGGCCACGCCGCAATCCCTTCT